TTCTTCCGTGTGGGCCTCTGATGTGAGTTCACGAGAGCGCCACGATGCATGCGCGAGAACTGAGAAGATGACGCAGATGGATCTCAATGTAGTTTAAAATGGTTGTAAAGTGTGCGTTTCCTGGATGTCCGAATCATGAGAGACCGACGAGAAAACGTAAAAGTGCCTTACCAATGCAGCAAAATTAATGGCTTACCTTTCAGGTACCTACCTTCTCAGTTCTCGTGCAAAAAAAAAAAAGCCCAAAAGTTCTAGATGTCAGTGCACTGACCACTTGGCTATTGGGGCCACTTAAACAGCATCAGATTGAGAAATATTAGAACCACTTTGAGTAAGGAACATGGGGGGAACAGAATCCAATGGCAAACAAACCAGCTGTCGGAATGCGTTCCCCCACGCCCATTATGAAAGGTGTTGATGTAGTGGCTTAAAAAAAGGCTGATTCTATTTTGTGTGTGGATTAAGCTTAACTGGCATCAGTTAAAATTGTTTTATGGTGTGCAATTTTAAACACCTTTTACCTTATCTTAATTATTTTCAGGTTAGGTAAAGTAAGTCAAATCTGTTCTAATTAATAAGCAATTGAATTCATACTTACAGCAATTAGGTTACAGAAGACTTCTTCGTGGTAAGTTCAGCTCTATCTTTTGTAAAGCAGAGACTTATGGCAGGCGAGCTTCTTAATTTCAACTATATATTTTTTTATTAAATACAGGTTAACTAGTTTACATAAAAGGTACTAATATATAAAACATAAATAAAAGTAAATCAAAACCAAATCGTTTACAAGTTTTAACTGCAAGAGGCGCAATGGCAAGGCATCTAACACCGGAGAGGCCGTCCTTGGTGAATCAGCGTCTACCTTGACATTCATTTTCCAGTCCTTATAAAGTCCATCAAACTTTTTGACAGTTGGAAACCCCCTCATGAATTCAGTCCTTTACAGACAACCTGTCCAATCCGAAGTCTTGGACTGTCATTAATCCTGGAAATTCCCTCAGGACCTTCTCATATAAAACCCTTCGTCTTTTCGTCCTCTTTCTCCGGGCTTTCATCCTCTGCTTTCTCCTGCGTTTGGTCTGCAACACAACAACTGGTAATACCTGCATTTTTCTCTTAATATTCAGCAAAAGTTCTTTCTAGTACGTTTTTTCCCCCCTTACTATACTTGCTAATAAATGCTTAAAACATCATGTGTTGCATGTTTATTTTATAAACCACATTTTCAATAAATGATTTACAACAACAATTGCAGTGTTTTTTCTTCTCAATAAACCACATTCTCAATAAATGATTTACAACAACAATTGCAGTGTTTTTCTTCAATAAACAACTTTCTCAGTAAATGATTTACACCAACAATTGTCCTGTTTTTCTTCAATAAACAACTTTTTCAATAAATGATTTACAACAACAATTGTCGTGTTATTCTTCAATAAACAACTTTCTCAATAAATGATTTACAACTAGTGTCCTTCATTATATAACACTTACTTAATAAATTGTTTAATAACTTCTGGTGTCTTACTTACACCATAACTTACTTACACTATAAAAACACTTTCATAATATGAAGTTACAAATGTGGTTAGCTATAAATAAGTACTTTATACATTAAAAAGCCATAATTATAATAGAATAATTGCATATTCCATAACAAAATATCAAATTTGGGGGGAATTGTTTCCTTTTATTTTTATAGGACAGTATGGGTTAAAAAGTATCCACGAGCCAGGACTTGATCTCGGGTCTCCCAAAGCCCAACAGTTCTAAATGTCAGTGGAATGACCACCTGGCGATTGGGGCCACAGAGTCAGTTTGAGAAATATTAGAACCTCTTTGTGTAAGAAACATGGGGGGAACAGAATCCAATGGTAAACAAACCAGCTGTCGGAATGCGTTCCCCCACGCCCATTATGAGAGGTGTTGATGTAGTGGCTTAAAAAAAGGCTGATTCTATTTTGTGTGTGGATGGAGCTTAACTGGCATCAGTTTAATTATTCCTTCACATACTACCATACAAGTGCTAACACCGTAAGAGGCATTCAGTACTGCAGTAGAGATACTAGTGAAACATTTTTAGGCTGTTGTGTTAAAAAAAAAAACAATGCTTCAGTTAACTAGTCAGCAGAATAAATAATAAACAGTATTATACTATACAGAGGTTTGTGTTATTATTATAATTATTTTAACAAAACATGATTTGTTTCACACAGAATATAAAGTGGCATTTGCTGCCACACTTGGACCCACAGGTTACATTGGACCCTTCCACACTCCATTCACAATGGTTTACAAAAAATGTCTATGTGAATGAGGGAAGAGCTTACAACCCAGCCACTAGTATGTGTTCGTATACTGAACCTTTATCATTCACACTCTGAAAACTACATTTTGTCAAAATAATCAGTGTAATTGTGGCCTATACAGGTATCTTCATGGCACCCATTAAAGGTGTCTATTTCTTCATGGTTTCTGGATTTAGTCGCTCATCTAAAGTTTTAAATTTAGGACTCTTTAAAAATGGACAACAGATGGTAATTGTTTTCCACGATGCCCTGAATCAACTGTCAAGTTATATGGCTTGTTATCTCATCATTCTCAAATGTTTAGGGCCCCTGGTTAACTCAAGTCCCCTGACTTTTTTTTCTACCACACAATCTTGCCTGATGAAGGTCGTGAGATCAAAACGTTGCTAATAATAAAAAATTATATTACTTGCAAGTACTGATAGTGTGCGGGAGTTCCTTATTACCACACAATCTTAAAAATGAATTAAGTTCAATGTACTTGCTAACAAAAATTAACCTAAAAACATCCTGATTCACTAGGAGTTAAATAAAAACATTACAGAACTTTATGGCAATAAAGCCTCAATGTTCGTGTGATATCATGCTTGTTTATTCATGACTGAATAAATAGGCTAAATAGGAATAAATAGGCTTTATGCCAAACGTACATGAACAAATAGGAAAACAGGTCTCATTGCATCCTCTTGTCAGAGAAACAGTTAATGGCAGTATGGACTGACGGCAATATCAATGGACTTTTAAAGTATTCAGCCAACCTGGCTAGTTCTTTTTATTGTTGCCGTTTTATTCGATTTAAACATATAGTGAGAAGAAGCAAAAAAAAAAAAAAAAAAAATAGAAATCAATCTGCATATGCGATGTACATCGGCTGTGTTCATCTTTGCCCTCTCCTTTGAAAGATTCTTGAGTAAAGCAGCTCTATATTTAACAAAGCACATAGAGTAGGCCTACAAAAGACCTGAGCTGGAAGCAATGCAACCTGTTTTACAGAATACGGAAGTTTGTTGCTCATAACCCCCATTGTTCTTATTTTGTTTAAAGGTCTTTTTTTAATTTTAATTTAGTACTGCCCTTCAGAAGCTACAAGATATTTCCATACTTACCAAAGGACAAAATATTAATTTACACCATTCATCCTGTTCAAATGTCTACACACCCAATAGTGTTGCCTTCATTTTAATTTGTATTTTGTTTAATTCACTGCATTATGCAAAAATAGGCATTAGGCCTACTACATGGTTATGTGTACATTTTTGAATTTCCAGAAAAATATAATTATGATATACTACTTATGTGATATAAGTTGAGTGGCCCTGTTTTATAAGTTTCTTCTGTCTAGGGATTGTTAGATCAACACACCTCCAGCAGGCCCGGTTTTTTGGCAGCTATAGGCTGGTGGGCTAGGTAATATGAGAGTTTTATGTTTTATATAATCTGATATGAGAGTTTTTATCATATTTTCATTTCAAATAACCCTTCTTTCTTTCTTTCAAGCTGAAAGAAAAAATGTCTGCCCGTTTTCGCTTGTGTTTTGTCAGCCTCTGCTTTCCCACTCGAAACTAAAGCCACCTAGCATTTGCTGCCACACTTGGACCCATTGGTAACCTTGGACCTTTCGACACTGAGATCACTCTGGTTTACAACGATGTCTGACTCTCTGTGGATAGGGTTTAACCCCGACATCCTGGCCAAATTTGCCCCTTGGCCTCTGTCCATTATGGCCTCCTAATCATCCCCATATACTGATTGGCTTCATCGCCGTCTCCTCTCCACCAGTATGCTGGTGTATGGTGGGCGTTCTGGCACAATATGGCTGCCGTCGCATCATCCAGGTGGATGCTGCACATTGGTGGTGGTTGAGGAGATTCCCCCCTTCTTTGTAAAGTGCTTTGAGTGCTGAGAAAAGCGCTATATAAATGTAACAAATTATTAATATTATTATTATTATGTAATGTAATGTAGTGGTTACTTTTTTAAAATGAGGCAACCTCAATGCCGTATGCGGCAGACAAATGCGATCCCCGGAGAGTGCAGCCGTAAAGGGAAGCTCCAACTAGACATGTGGTGGTGTTCATTTTCTACATGTGACTGAAATATCAACCAAAATAGCTATTCATATTTTCTTTCCTCATTCATTTGCATGAGTCATGAGTTAAACATCAATGCACGTGTTTTATATCAAGAGTTGCACCAGAAGCAGAAACAATTAGGCAAAGTTAACTATGGCTTTAAATAATAAACCTCTGCTATATAGTGTTTATACCACTGTAAACCAATCTGACCTTTGGTCTTTTGTTATTTTTCCACATGCGTGTCGTGTTTTACACAATAACTACTTGATAAAAATACATTTTTAAAAGTCTTTTTTTAAATCAAAGATCAATATTGCATACAGTAAGTCTTGTAACACTTGTATTGCATATATTGCAAATATCTCGTGTAAGTGTCATATATGAACTGATCGGCATGGGCATATGTACTGTATAAATTATGTTTTGCTGATAAATGGATCACGTTGTACACGTGATTATCTGCAATAAAAAAAATATATATTTTCTTTCCTCATAAAATGTGTCATGAGTTAAACATCAATCCAGCAGGGATATATCAAGAGCTGCAGGAACAAGAAGCCCAATAATATTCATTTCTTCACTGACAGTTGCAGTCTTCCACTTGTATTATCTTTAGGTAAAGATGTCCTGCACTATTCTGTATCCGCTGCTGCTTCTGGTGATAATCTGTCACTGTATGTCTGAGGTCCAGCAGGAAGAGAAGGGATTGCAGACTGACAGGACTGAGCATTTGAATGTGGAGGATAGCGGTGCTGGTTTGACTCCTGGTGAGTTTCAGCAACACTTTCTCACAGGGATCCACACTGAGCTGGCAGAGCTGAGATCTACTGTGAGGTCTCTGAAGAACAGACTGGAGGTCACTGAGGAACATCTTAGGAGAAAAGGTAACCCTCCCATCTGTTATTTCACTTGTGTCATGCTTACAGGTGGAAAATCAGTGAAAAAAAAAAAAAAAAATCCTATGGATGGATAAAAAAATTAAGTTGTATGAGTATCTTTGTTGCTCAATAAGCTTGTCAGATCAGTCCAAAGTAATAACAAATTAGTTTATCATTAATAGCCAGCAATCGGAATAAACATCTTCAAACAGACAGACCATAACATAACCAATAGAAAGAAAGAAAATATAGTTTGTGATCTGAGATGTGTTATACAGAGGTTTGCATGATTATTTTTTAAACAAAATTTGATCTTTGATTTACGCAGATTATAAAGTGGCATTTGCAGCCACACTTGGACCCATTGGTCACGTTGGACCTTTCAACACTGAGATCACTCTGGCTTACAAAGATGTATTTGTGAATGAGGGAAGAGCTTACAACCCAACCACTGGTGTGTTCTTATACTGAATCTGTATCTGTGTGTTACAGAACTTTGAAAGCTACATATCAGATAAACAGCGTAATTATATGATCATATAAATTATTAATTGTTGCATATACCATTACAGGTATCTTCACAGCACCTGTTAAAGGCGTCTATTTCTTCACTTTGTCTGGACATAACCACTCATCTAAACCTATGGGCCTAAGACTCTTTAAAAATGGACAACAGATGGTGACTATTTACAATCATCCTTTAGGTAACCGCTATGACACAGGAACTAATTCGATCTCTTTGACTCTAAAAGAAGGAGATCATGTCTATGTGCGTCTCCGGCAAAATACATGGGTCCTCGATAATGAAAATGACCACACTTCATTTGTTGGCCATTTACTTTTTCCTCTTTGATGGTCTTATTAAAATTCAAAATACTTGTCAAGAAGTCTTAACTGCTAAAAAAGTCCGGATTCACATTACAGAACATGTTCTTGTGAGGCTTAATGTTTGTTGATTCATATTACATGTTATTTTACCACTTTGATAGTTCTATTCAAATGCATTGCTTGTAAATATATAAATAATCCAATTTGTATGTGTAAATATTTGAACAACTTTGTTAAATATCCCTACTGTATATAAACTTTTTACACACAGAATTCAACTTTGTTTATTATCTTCCTCAATAAACGAAACTGACACATTAAGTTCTCAGTTATTCAGTGTGGAATAATTTGTATGTGAAAAAGCTCTGTGAAGAGGGTTTTAGAGAAAGTTAATCAACAACTTCACAAGTCATTAGATGTTGCCTTCAAAATGAATATGCCATTTCTTCTTCTGTAAGGCTTTCTTTCTTCACCTGTGAACAAACAACATACAAACACTTCAAAATAGTTAAACTAATGACTGTGTGATCATTGCACTCCAGGAATGTAAAGCTTAAAAGGAGTGTATAATGTGTAAAGATGTTAGATATACTGTATAGTATGAGCTTAGGTGGCGGCGATGTTTCGTGGTGTTGGTCATGGGACCGTACTCTTGTGAAGTTCTGAGTGAGTTTGTGGGAGAGTTCTCATCTCTAACGCGGCTCAAACAGGCCCTGCCCCTATGAAGGTATTTTTGGTGCAAAACAAATGAACGCCTGTGACAGTGAAATGTGTAGTTGTAGAGAATAGCCACATGTGTATCAGTACATTTGAAGTCACAGAGAGAAATGTTTTAAGAGTTGCAAACTACGCCCCCTTCTTTGCGTATTCCACGAGCGGGTGACATTGTGACTTCACAAGATCTGCAAGAAGTGCGTTTGAATCCAAGCGAGCCATATGTAGTTCTTGAATGTAGTATCTCCCTTTAGAGTGGACTTTGAGAATTGTAACCTTGCAGATATATACTTTTTTAATGCTCAAACAGCAACATTACACACTTACTAAAGTTAAAAAAGGGAAAAAGCATAATAGGACCCCTTTAAAATCAGTTTTTTTTTGCTAATAAAATCCACAATGTTGCACACGATCATATGCCACTTCTCATGTGAGCTCAAAAAGGAGAGTGTATGATATTAAATTACATCACCACAGATCTTTTCTGACTTGTCAAACTGACAGTTACAACACTCCCAGGTCTCCTCCTATATGCACTAGTACACAGTAATGCACACCTGGCAGCCAGTCAGAATCAAGTACACAGACCATGGTGTATACGAATGTGTGTATATCACTTCATGAATCATTTTCCAACAGAAACTGCTCAAATAGATTTAGCTATACGGTTTTGTCCTCAAACTAAGCATGTGCACAAAGTAGAATAATCAGCATTTGAACAGGAAAGAAACACTTTCACTCATTCTAAAGAAAGTCTTTATTGGTCAATGTACAGAAAGTGCTGCAGTGACCATCAAAGTTAAACAAAACATACAAAAGAAGTCTTACATGATTTTACAGGGTTGATCTTTTTAAAAGTTTCTTTTTTGTTCCTGTTCTATAACACATGGTAAAAAGGACAAGCGAAATATAGGAATGAAAGGTGTGGAAGGTGGACGGAGAGGGAACGGGATGTCTCACAAGGCTGACATCACAAGCACGTTTTGGCAGATGGGATGAGAAATCCTAACCACTGCAACAGACATTACATGAAACCCAATGCACATATTCATAAACGCACACGTTCAGGGAGAAAAACATGTGTCTTCTATAGTCGCTCGAGTATTACTTCAACTCTCCTCTATAGGAAAACAAAACACCTCTGTAACTCTGCTAAATGATTTTACTCTGTCAAAAGCCTCACTTTTCACAAAGACTTTGCTTTTGTTTGTACTTTTCTTGCATTCCTTTTTTTATTTCTTTTCCCTTGAAGAATGAATTGAACTGTGCACTGCAGGGAAGTTAGTAGCCTAAAGATCCCCAGAATATACCAAAATAGCCCCGGGCTAAAATCATTGAACACATTTCTTCTATTTCTTTCCTTTAATAGTTTAAAAGTGCCTTTGTCTACAGAGGCTCAGACAAATCTATTTGAGGTGGAGTGAGGGAGAACCAATCCTCGTTTGGGGTGAGGAGGACACCATGAACGATAAAAGAGATCAACACAGACAGAGAGAGGAGGAGGAGGAACCTTCCTCTTCAGCAAGCAAGTGTGGACACAAACAGGCCATGTGAGGGATGCAGGAGGATGTGAGGAGTCTGAGTCACCATTCAACTACTCTACAGTTCTCTATTTACAGAAGACAGGCATATAAAAATGAACAGACACGCTTCCTCCTATCTTCCCACCGAGATCCCCCCAAAAAAAGAAAAATAGGAAGTTTAAATTTTCCTTTTTTTTCATCTCATTATTATTGAAGCTCGTTCCCACCCCCAAATCAAAAAAAAAGTAATTGCAACTTTTATTTCACAATTCTTACTTTTTTCGAGTTTACGTCTCGCAGTTCTGACTTTTTCCCTCGCAACTGCGAGTGTATATCCCACAATTCGTTCTTTTCTCTTGCAATTTCAAACTCACAATTGCAAATTCGAAAGTCTCAATTGCAAAATAAACTTGCAAACTCGAAATTCTGATAAATAAAGTCGAAATTCGGACTTTTTCATGCAATTTTGAGTTTATATTTCACAATTCTGACGTTTTCCGCAATTGCAAATTTATTTATCAGAATTGTGAGTATGTAGCCTGCAATTCCGATTTTTTTTCCCTCAGAATTGTGAGTTTATATTTTGCAATTCAGACTTACGAATTTGCAATTGTGCTGTTTGTGATGAATAATTTTTTTCTAAGATTAATTCTTAGAAATAAATTTGCAATTGCAAAAAAAAAAAATGTTCGAAAATAGTCTAAATTCTGATAAATAAAGAATTGCGAGATAGAAACTCGCAATTCTGACATTTTTCTTGCAATTGCGAGTTTATTTCTCAGAGTTGTGAGATTTTAACTTGTTTATATTTTTCTAACATATATATATATATATATATATATTCGCAATTGAGAAAAAAGTCAGATTTGCAAGATGTCAACTTGCAATTGTGAGAGAAAAAAGTCAGAACTGTGCGATAAAAAGTCACAATTACCTTTGTATATTGTTTCATTCCATGGTGGAAACAAACTTCCATAAATTACTATATAACTTTTGTTTAAAGAGAACCGTCTCAATCAAAATCTCTCTGAGGATCTAAAATAAACCTATTTGCTTAATTTCAAATGAAGAAAATATCATTATTATATACTTTCATTGAAAAAACAACTTTTGGGTATTTACTATTGCACATCAATGCAATATTAAATGTTACTCTGAAGACAACAAATGGTGAAGGCATAGCCGTACTGTCAAATATTACAGTTTAGTATTTCAAAACGGGAGAACGCATCATGATGTTAGACTACAATCTGATTAATCTACACAAAACGCACAAAAAAAAACTGTAAACATAAAAAAAAAACATCCCAGAGATGTTGATTCACAATTTAGTCCATTGTGTTAATTTATCTTTCATTTTCGTGGATCTACTGAGACACTGCAGCTTATACACTACAGAAGTACATACAGGCTTTGTAGAGTTTGGACTGAAGGGTGCGCGTCCCAATATTGACCTGCAGATGGCGGTACAGGATGCTTTTTGTGGCTGTTGGAAAGAGTCAAAATCAGGTTGATGTGTTTGACAGCTTTTCAGGCAATAAATTCTGGCTTCTGTAAGTGTGAGGGGGCATTAAATGCAAGTGTTTTATGTATATGTGTACGTGTGTGTCCACAAGTCTATGTCTGTGTGTGAATCTTGCTTGTGTGAAGGTGTATGTATGTTTGTGTGTGTGTAAGTGAGAGAGACTGTGTTTGTTTGTGTTTTAATAGGGTAACGTAGATTGGTCCCACTCCAGCTTTCCTTTCACTTTTCCCTTCTGAATGCTAGACTCTTCCTCTTCATCACTGTCCTCGGATTCAGCACTAGAGAGATCTCCTGACAGTTCATCATCCTCTTCGTCTTCATCCTCCTCTTCCTCTGGCTCCTCCTCCCTCACCTCCTCAGCAATCTGAGTCCCATCAATGCTCTAGAACCAAAAGAATTATGCTATATATATTTAGACCATCTTCAGGATAAAAACAGTAAAACTCCTCATGCTACAGAGCAGTGTTGTTATTGTTAACTAAAACTAAAAATATTGGTTACCATTTTTTTTAGGTGACTTAGTTACATTGTACTTACTCAAATAAGTACTGAGTTGTAATAATAAACTACATGTACTTACTATAGAGATACAGTTATTGTTTGGTTTAGGGTTGGTTACTTGTAATTATGCATAATTTACTGTTATACATATAGTACATGAAGTAACGTGTAACTACGTTACCTTAAAATAAAGTGTTACCAAAATTAATTAATTTAAATAAAGCTAATATAAAAAAATACATATTAGATGAAAACCTAAACCTAGAAAAGTTAAAACCTAAACCTAGAAAATTACATGAATGAAAATTAGAAATGTTGCCTTGGTAACTAACTGAAATCTTTAAAGTTTAAAGTGTAAATAAAAGTCACATAAGCACATATTGTAACAAAATGACTAAAATAAAAAATAAAAGCTGATTCAAAATATTAAGTACTATTATAGTAAATGAATAAATTTGACCTACTTACCTAAATGTAGAAAAGTGTGATTAATTCAAATGAATTGGTTCATCATAAACTGTCCTCTCTCTCTCACACATGTCAATTTAGAAAGTTTGCTTCATTCCAATGAATCTGATGGATCTGATTCAATTTAAATGATAGGCCTACCATTGGAAGTTTTTTTCATTTATAAAAATAAATATTGCCCTCTTAAGTAACTTCAAGACAGTGCAAGCTTTTTTGTTTGTAACTTGTAGTTGTAATGTACCCAATTATTAATTATTAATTACAGTTTCATTCGTTTTACTATAGCTAGACTGTGGTTTAACTACTTCAAACTATGATAAGTTTAACAACCTTCAATGTCAAAATTGCTTCCCAAACATTTGTCTTTACCAATGAGGC